TACTTATGTACTCCCTGACCTGATTCTTTTCCACCAAGGGTGCATCTTCCTTGCTCCAACACTTGTCTCTGGCCTCTGAGACCTGGCATTCATTTGCTAAATTCAGTACTTCAGCCTTATTGATGTCGTGTGTAATCAAGTCCCCCATCTCACTGTGTCCAGCTTTGGAGTCCTCAACACAGGAAGGACATGGACCTGTTGGAACGGGTCCAGTGGAGGGCCACGAAGATGATCGACCGATGGAGCACCTCTCCTGTGAGGACAGGCTGAGAGAGCTGGGGTTGTTCAGCCTGGAGAAGAGAAGGCTCCAGGGAGACCTTATAGCGGCCTTTCAGTATCTGAAGGGAGCCTATAGGAGAGCCGGAGAGGGACTCTTTGTCAGGAAGTGCAGTGACAGGACAAGGGGTGACGGTTTTAAATTGGAAGAGGAGAGATTTAGATTAGATACTAGAAAGAAATTCTTTACTGTGAGGGTGGTGAGGCACTGGAACAGGTTGCCCAGAGAAGTTGTGGATGCCCCATCCCTGGAGGTGTTCAAGGCCAGGCTGGATGGGGTTTTCAGCAACCTGCTCTAGTGGGAGGTGTCCCTCCCCAGGGGAGGGGGGTTAGAACTAGATTATCTTTAAGGTCCCTTCCAACCCAAACCATTCTATGATTCTATGATGATTCTATGATTCAGCAATGGGCCCACATGTTCCCGAGTCTTCCTTTGTCCCCTATGTACTTATGGAAGCCTTTTCTTGTTGTCTTTTGCATCCCTTAGCACATAGAGCTGAATGTTACCAAATTTCACTGAAAACTGAAACTCTGATTTTGCCTCTGCAGCACATTTTAAAGGTTCCCTTAATAGGAATTCCTGCTGTAAAAATCTGAAACATAGTAAAATACTATGTAACTAATTCTATAAAAATATGAAACAACTTATTTCCCAAATTATGATCAGATGAAGATAGGAAAATAATAATAATTAAAAAAAAATAATACTTTGAAACTTTTATTTTGGTCAATTATCTAAATAAAATGTATGGAAAAGAACACAGAGTTTTGAACATTGTGGCCTGATATTTCTACAATATTCAAGCATACAGTTTCTACATATGTAGAGCTCCATCTGGTTTTCATATGCATCTCTGTATTTGAGAGCAGAATTTGGCATATATTTAAAAAAAACCCAAAAAACCCCAACCAAACAACACCCACAAACTGAATTTTAGTAAAACACAATTTTTCTAGTATTCAACCTGCAGATCGCAATGTTATTACCTGCCTTATTTCATTACTCGTATGATAGCACATTGTTACTAGGGTTGGAAGTTCATATGAAACTTCCTGCATCACAAGATTGTAAGTTGTAGGCTGAATTTCCAGGGTGTATCTTGTTTGAAATTCCTGTGCTACGGTTTCGTCATTATGCTCATTAAGTTCCTAGCTAACCAAAGACTGCAAACCAAAAGTCCTCAGTTGCTACTATGTAGTTTTGGTATGTAGTAGCTTGCTTTAGCAGGACGCTAAAAGTGGAAGTCCTCTCCAGACGCATTATCAGGCAATCATCAATGCTTAGGCTGACATAAAGCTCCAAAGAACTTTATACAGCTTGCAGCCAGGGATGAGAAAAAATGTAATCTAATGGCAAATATTTGAATCACATATAGCATAGATATATGGGCCTAAAGACTGAATACATCGCTCTAATAATCTATTTCTTTGAGTCACAGAATCACAGACTGATGTGGGGTTGGAAAGGAACTCTGGAGATCATCTAGTCCAACCCCCCTGCTAAAGCAGGTCCATCCTAAAGCAGGTCCATCCCAGAGCAGGTTGCTCTAGGGACTTGTCCAGGTGGGTTTTGAATGTCTCCAGAGATGGAGACTCCACCACCTCTCTGGGCAGCCTGTTCTAGGGTTCTGCCATCCTCAATGTGAAGAAGTTCCTCCTCATGTTTAGATGGAACTTCTTATTTTCAAGTTTGTGCCCATTTCCTCTTGTCCTGTCACTGGGCACCACTGAAAAAAGACCAGCCCCCTCCTCTTGACACCCTCCCTTTAAGTATTTATAGATGTTGATCAGATAACCCCTCAGCCTTCGCTTCTCTAGACTACAAAGACTCAAGTCCCTCAGCCTTTCCTCATAAAAGAGATGCTCCAGCCCTCTCATCATCTGTGTGGTCCTCTGCTGTACCCTCTCCAGCAGTTCCCTGTTCTTCTTGAACTGGGGAGCCCAGAACTGGACACAATACTCCAGATGGGGTCTCACCAGGGCAGAGTAGAGGGGCAGGATAACCTTTCTCGACCTGCTGGTCACACTCTTCTTGATGCCCCGCAGGATGCCAATGGCCTTCTTGGTCCGAAGGGCACATTGCTGGCTCATGGTCATCATGTTGTCCACCAGGACTCCCAGGTCTTTTTCCTCTGAGCTGCACTCCAGCAGGTCAGCCCCCAACCTGTACTGGTGCAGGGGGTTATTCCTCCCCAGGTGCAGTACCCTACACTTGCCCTTGTTGAATTTCATCAGGTTCCTCTCTGCCCAACTCTCCAGCCTGCCCAGGTCTTGCTGTATGGCAGCACAGCCTTCTGGCGTGTCAGCCACCCCTCCCAGTTTTGTATCCAATTATTTGCTTATACAGACATTGCCTACATCTCCTGGCATTTTGCTGCAAACTTGCACGTTACTGATTTTTAATGTGAAATCCAAACCTTTAGCTCTGTCAGTTCACTGCTTGGGACTGCACACTGCAGGTGCCAACACTACACTGGCCATGAATGTTTCAGATAGCTTCACATGAACTGTTTTGATTTTCTTCTTCTTGGCAGCTCTTTGCTTGTGCTAAATTCCCACACTGACATTTGAGACTTTTGTAGATGTGACAAAAAAAAGTTCAACTGAATCATCTGCACTAAGGGAACTCTGAATGCTCTTAAATGTCATATAAAGGAAAAACATGGGCTGAAACAGTTATGCTCTTCTTCAAAGAAAATAACTATATAAAGCTACCATGAATACTCTGAAATTTTGTTTAACATATCTTTAAAGTTTAAAATTATTAAGTGTGATACAGATGTTACTATTATCTTCAAATATTTTGTTCACTGCTTACCACAGCTAAGGTTACATATTGCTGAATAAGTAAAAATATCTACAACACAGTGTCACTGTTTTTTCTGCTGTTGTTTGGTTTTGATTTATTGTTTTTTTAAATGTTTTTGTCCTTTTTAATTATTATCACCTTGTGACTTTTCTGAAATAGAACCAAATAAATTAAGAGCTCTGGGAAAGCTCTTCCTCTGGATATTACTATTAGGCTTCTCACATGAAATAATAGTTTAATTTGTCATTAACATAGCTGACGTTCAATTTCCTTACCTCTCCTTCAGATATAATACCAGTTACAACCCAGCTTGATATAAATTCTCAATATTTTCTGCTCTTTTACTTTCAGAATTACAGAATAGCTTACAGCCACACCTCTATCCAATTGAAAAGCATGCATTACACATCTCTCATTTTGTTTCACAGAAAAGCACACTACACAACATCATAGGAACATGCTCTGATTTTTTGTTCCCTAGACATTTAGTTAAGAAAGGAAGAATAATTTTATATGAAAGCAACATTAAGCTGTGATTTAAGCTTTTCAACTTCTCTCTTACTTCCTCCAAAACACTGGGCTGCTTCCCAATATTTGCTTTCAGCTGCGCATTAACATACTGAAAATTCACACCTACTTGTCTACAAGGTGAGATTTACAGCCTTATTGCTCAGATTCATCAGCATTTGGAACATAGCATACATCCAAGGCCTACTCACAAAAGTACCTAACACATCCATACAACCGCTATCTGCGTGAACATGATTGTATACATTTGGTGTACCTTTTCTGAACACCTAAGTCTCCAAATGAAGTTGATGTACATACACAGAATGTCAACAGAACTTGCAACAGAATAAAAAAAAAACCCAAACCAAAACCAGTTTGGTTAACACTGTTCATAGTACCCCATGCTGCATCAAATATTTAACTTTGTATTCCCAGGCAACTGTTCATAGTACCCCATGCTGTATCAAATATTTAACTTTGTATTCCCAGGCAATGCAAATCCCATTTAGACTGTGGATGAGAACTTGAAGTATGAAAGGCTGAAGAATTTTAACTAATCATTCTGTATGTACCTGTGTAACCATTTTTTCCTCAATAATCCTGCTGAGAAAACAGTCATCGCAGTCTAATCCACCTAAAGTTGTTCCTCAAAAATTAGTATGTAATGCATTTTTCTGCAGTAATGGAAGTTAGAATTTAGGCTCCACTCAGTACAGACAAGAAGTGAGAAAAATATTTTAAGGAGAAAGGCAATTTAATTTAAAATAAAAGCAAAGACATTATTTTAACTATTTCTCAATTTATCTTTTAAATATTCTCCCTACAGATTTCTATTTCAGAATCAAGTTTGGATATTTATACATATGAGAGAGAAACTAAACACCTCTACTACTTGACAAGATTGCTCAAACTGATAGCTTTAAAACAGACAACAAGAACTATGATCTCAGAGATTTAGAATGCCAGAGGAAAGAGATGGCTTAGGAAAAATATATGCCCTCTTTACAAAGAAGTATCTTTAATGTTTAGACACTTAAGAAGTAAATCAGCCATGAATGTATGAAAAATAAACTGATCTATGTTTAAATAACTGTTTGAAAGCTTTGAGTAGTAAAGTTAAGATTGCAGATTTATGCATAGAGTGGAAAATCATTATACTTTCCTATTACTGCACACTACCATGTAGTAAATCAGAGCAATCTGCATTACAAACATTATACGTAGCAGGGGAAAATCTCTTGCTTCAGCAGCATAAAATTCTTTGAAAACAGAGGTTGCTGATTTTTATAATGTTTATATTAAATCTTAATCCAAGTATTTATCATTTTAAAATAATAATAATTCAAATAGAGCCCAAGCAGAAGATTCCTAACTTTTCCGTTAATTTGTTCCCTCCTCTTCTTACCTTCTCTGGAAGTGCAGGAGGGTGAAATCTCTTTGCACAGACTAGAAATACATCAGGCTCTGGCTTGCCATTCTTCACCTCGGGGTCATCTCCCAACACAATATGATGAAAAAGACCAAAGAAGTCTTTGTGTCTGGCTGTTTTCATCTGAAATGTCATTTCAGCTGAGCTGGTGGCAACAGCTATGGGTATGTTGTGTTTGTGTAAATGACGGATCAGCTTATCAACCCCTGCAAGACAAATATACACATTTTATTTTTTATATATACACATATATGTAGGCATACATATTAATATTTATACCTACTTACAATATATTTAGCAGTATTTCAACAATGTTGTCTTACTGAATATAACAACCTATTTCAACCAGTCAGTGTAGAAGAAAATTCTTGCTATGTCTGAAACGTACCTTCTCCACACAAAAAACATGGAACATTCCTATATACTTGTTCTGTTACAAACAAATGATGTTTTTCTCAAAATATGCCAAAAATGAGTTCAACATCATTATGAAGTACACCCAGCCAAAGCTCATTACGTAACATCCCCAATATTATGTATGTTTATTATTTCTCTGTAAGTGAGAGAAAAGCACAGGGGGAACATTTTCTTTTATACGCAGAGTTACGTTCCTGGGGAAAAAAAAAAAAAAAAAAAAAAAAAATCAAACCCAAATAAATATAATCTTCTCACTGCATGGTATAGTTTTAATTTCTGAACCAGATACCCAAGCAGCTAAAACCAGCCCCTAAGAGAGCTCAGTTCCTCTTTTTTGCAATTACTAAAGCAAGTAACACTGGGCAGAAGAGGGGAGCTGTCAGTCACAGTTGTTAATACCAGAGCTTTATCTATTGATGCTGTGAACCCAGAGTAATGAACACCTCGAGTCTAATGGGTAGAAACTTCAATCCGATCTAGTCTTCTAGGGAAGGTTAATGCAGGGAACAGTGAAAACACAGCAGTCTGTGTAAGAGGGAAACACACTTCATTATTCAGTGCAAGTTTTGAGTTTCCCCTGCAGAGGTTTCAATGCTCCTTTGCTGCAGCATTATCAACGTTGGATGCCTTTCCCATATGAAATGATTAGCAGTGTCCAGTGGAGAACAAGAGTAGACGTTCAGTCTTTACCAATTCACAAAAGAAAATCCCTCCATATCTGTAAAATCATTTCAGCTCTGCTTCTTGGCACGAAACCAAACTGTGCTGGACAAAGGATATTAGTTTCAGGTAGATAAGCGTCCAGTTGACTTCCGGCTCTTTGAAACAACTTGAGGATGGTTCTTTGTTTTCATCTTCCTACTGCATGAATTCTTATCCTACTATTCATGCCTGGCTATACTAATGTAATCTTATTCCTTTCCTCTTGTCATACTTTTGCCTGGTCCCTGCTCCCTCAAAACACTCCTACTCCTCACACCCATTTAATTCTTTCCTTTACCACCCCAGCACCTCCAATTTGCATTTCTCATGTGATCCAGCCTTTCTCCTCCATTTTCACAATTCTATAAACAACAACCTTATCTGCAATACATTTTTCCCAAGTATAGTCATATGCTCAACTTTGAGAAGCTATAACTACTGGTAATAAAGCGTGTAGATTAGTTAAGCAGGTGCTTTAACTAACCCATGTATCTGGAAATATGACCTGTAGATGTGACCGTCCACAGATTTCTTTTCTATTCTCCATAAACTAATCAACCAATTGATAACTGACATTTCCAGCTCCATGCTTGTATTTGAAGATAGACTTTAAATACATGCACTTCTAGATGCTAGATCCCAACTGGACAGAGATAACAGCAGTGTTATTCCTCCTCCAATGGCAAGGCATCACCCGTTTAAAAGCTTTCCTATGCCCCCTTAAATGGCTATACTAATAACAAGCAAATGCATTTTTCCCCAAATGATGATACTCTGTCCTCTCATTGAAATAAGATGCTTTTTATTTTATTCCAGATACAGATTATGTCTTCATATGTGAACAAGTGAAGCAAGTCCATATTGAATTAATTGAAGTATTAAAATCTATTAATATAAATCAGTAGACTAAACGTCTCTTTTTTAAATAAAATGCATTCATTCAAAGGAATTTATTCTAAAGAATCTGCAACACTTAGCAAAACTAGCATATCATGTAGTAATATAGAGAAGTCTAAGATTACACAAGGAAGAAGGCATTTTCTATCTCCTATGGTCTTGCTATGATATAATTAGTTTTTTCTAAAGTTGTGCTCTTTTCAAATACCTAATTTTCTTCAGTCCCACTGCATTACAGCTTCTGTTCATCTGTCACAGAGTATGTTTATTCTACATTTCTATTGGAGGTAGCCAGCCACAGAAAAGCACTGTTGCAGAAAGGTTATTTCTTCAGGGTTCTATCTTATATTCTCCCAGCATGACATGATTTTGGAGTGTAAATGTATGTGTGTGTGTGTGTGTTTAGTTTGTATTTTTGGCTTCCCTTGCTACAAGGGAGCTAAAATGCAGCTGTCCCTAATAGCTCCAGAGAGCAAAGATGTACATTATTCAGAAAATGCACTTTAATAAAAATATGCCATTTAAAAATTATTATTTGCATATGTGTAAACATAGCAAGATAGATTATAAAAAATACAAGGGGAAAAATCGGCTTTGTGGAAAAAAATTAAATTGCATATGGAAGAATTGCTAACATAACTTAACAAGTTCAGATAGTATTTTCTTTCCAGGTTTGTTATTTAATTGTAAAAGCTATAGATCAACAAAATGCTTTCATTTGCCTTAATTACCACCAGTATAGCTCTAGACACTTTGCCACCAAATCAAATTACTGACACAATTATTATACTAATTCAGCATATAATTCTTCATTAGGAAAATAATACCTTTCATAGTATCTTTCTTGTGCTTTTTTTAAAAAAACCAACAACAGAAGGGGAAATGGGGAACCGCTTTAAAGATCTGTAAGGAACTTCCCCTCGCATATACTTTGTAATTACATCCCCTATAGCTACACAGACTTTTCAATCAGATGAAGACTTCAGTTACATCAAAAACAACCAATTAAAAACTTGATGTCTGTGAAGAACTACAGTGAAAATTTCTGTGAACTCACTAACTTCTAACTTACTTGTAGCTACCATGTAAGGGATTGAGGCCTATCCATCACAGACAGACCTATCTGTTAGGCTTCCTGGGCCCATCTTCCACCTCCCCTACTGAAAGCTTAGCCACATTCAGCAAGTTCTTTTTTTTGTTCTTTTTTTTTTTTTCTTTTAGCATCTCTGATTAAAAACAAAAAATAAAGAAAGATCAAAAGAAATAAGGATCTCCATTTTTCCAGCATAAGGATACACTCCTAATGTGATACACATGCAATAACAATCTTAGACAGTACAACATAAATTCTCAAGTAATCATAAAAAAAATCAGGAATAAATATCCCACATTGCTATGCTTTATTTCCAAATGTACTCTTTCATTTCAAATAATCAAAAAGTAAATGTTGTTTCTTTCCTCTTTAAATATTAAATTTTAGAACAGACTCAGAAGTTTACTATATTCTAAATGTAATAGTTAAACACCAGCGTCTATTGGAAAGAAAAATAGGTGAAAAGAATTGTAAGCTGAGTTTAGTTACAGAAGCTGAAAACAAGAAGGATCAACTTTAAATATCAGCTTTAAAACCTGATTAATCACAAATGACAAAGCTAACAACTTCATGGAAAAAAAAGGAAAACAAACTAAACCAACAGAAAGGAGCTCTTTTTTCTGAGACAAATGTATGTTAAAGGAAGAGATCAGCACTTTTGTTCTGAAAGTTGCAGAAAAAAACCATGAAATATATATTTACTTTTTTAAAAAAAGGAAGTATTATTCCTCCATTAGAATCCAAATGTGGTGTTTGTTCTCTTTAGATTCAGCTGGAAACACAGTGACTAATATATTGGATCAACTGACAAACTAAAATTAAGACTTATACTGAACAACAAAACCCTTGGGCTAACTTGCATTTTCCTTTTCATTGATTAATCAAACATGTACAGCAAGAGTTCAGAAAACCAAATAATGCTATGCTAAAACGATCTAATGATAGTCCCTATCTAATTATTTACATGCTATTACAGCACTGTTTTCTACACGATTTTTTTTTAAGTTATCACATTTTATAATCAAATGGCATTATTATGAACTGAAAATTAAGAAGATGTAACTCCTGAGAGCTAATTCAAATTGATGAAAAAAGATGGGAATTTTTATTTTCCTTTTAGCTTTATACAAATGTGAGCTCTGTGTCATATGGAATACTTCAGAATGGTCAACACATAAATTTTTGCTACATTTTATTTGACATACTTTCAAATTTTCGTACTATCCATTTTCTTACGTTTGTCTACACTGGAAAGAACACTGTTCTTAACTTATATCACCTCTGGAACTTCAGATTCAGACCCATTTCTTGTGAAATGCCTCCGGACAAATAAGGAGACAATCATATCATCATAGAATCATAGAATGGTTTGGGTTGGAAGGGACCTTAAAGATCACCTAGTTCCAACACCCCTGCCATGGGCCATGGACAGGGACACCTTCCACGAGACCAGGTTGCTCAAAACCCCATTCAGCCTGGCCTTGAACACTTCCAGGAATGGGGCATCCACAGCTTCTCCAGTGTCTCACCACCCTTACAGTGAAAAATTTCTTCCTAGTATCTTACCTAAATCTACCCTTTTTCAGTTTAAAACTGTTACCACTATCATCCTATCATTACACTCCCTGACAAAGAGTCCTTCCCCATCTTCCATGTAGGCCTTCTTTAAGTACTGGAAGGCTGCTATAAGGTCTCCCTGGAGCTTTCTCTTCTCCAGACTGAACAACTGCAACTCTCTTCATAGGAGAGGTGCTTCAGCCATCTGATCATCTTTGCGGCCTTCCTCTGGACTTGCTCCAACAGGTCGATGTCTTTCTTATGTTGGGGGCCCCAGAGCTGGATGCAGTACTCCAGGTGGGGTCTCACCAGAGAAGAGCAGAGGGACAGAATCAACTCCCTTGACCTGCCGATCACGCTTTGATGCGGTCCAGGATATGGTTGGCTTCCAGACTTTAAGCACACATTGCCAAGACATATTGTGCTTTTCATCCACCAGTATCCCCAAGTCCTTCTCAGCAGGGCTGCTCTCAATCCATTCTCCACCCAGCCTACATTTGCTTGGGATTGTCCCAACCCAGGTGCAGGATCTTGCACTTG